ATGCACTGGAATGGGGAGATGTCCCTCAGCCCAGTCTGCACCCTCTCCAATCTGGGATCCCTCTCACAATCCAAGACTACTGGCTCCCACTGCTTGCCTGCCTGCCTGCCAGCCTGATCACACCCTAACCATTCTCCTGCCAGCCTGATCGACCCCTAACTGCTCGACCCCTGCTGGCCCAATCATCCTCAACTGCCCTCCCCTGCTGGTGGCCCAGTAAACCCCAACTGCCATCCCCTGCTGGCCTTGTTGCTCCTAGCTGCCCTCCCTTGCAGCCTGGTCCCCCTCAATTGCCCACCCCTGCTGGCCTGATTACCCACAACTACCCTCCCCTGCCGGCCATCTTGTGGTGGCCATCTTTGACCACATTGGGGCAGCCATCTTGTGTGAGGGTGTGAGGATCAATTTGCATATTACCTCTTTATTATATAAGATTATTATAGATGAGCTATTACTTTTAAGATGTGAATAACATATCTAAACATGCCCCTGGTTGGAGCTACTTCCTGGGAGTGACTAGTGTCCATAGCTCGTATAATGACCTGTTCAGGGAAGGTGGGTCATTTGAACTCATCTTGGTGGAACTTGTGAAAGGCAGCAGCATGTTCTTTCTGAGCCAGTAGATCTGGGTTTGAAGACAGGCTTTGCCACTCATGGGTCTGTGTAACATTGGGATAAGTTACTTAAACTCTATAAGCCTCTATTGTATTCATCTGTAAAATGAAGATAATACCGTCCCCTTCAGAGATTCTCAAAAGATTAAATGAAATTAGGCATAAGAAGCACTCAGCATTAGCACCTGGTCCACTGGAAGAGACCCGCATGAAGAACATTGTTTCCCAACTTCAGTACCGTTGACATTGGGGTCAGATAATTTTTTGGGGTGGGCGGCTGTCCTGCGCACTGTAGAGTAGCTAGTAACATGCCTGGCCTCTATCCACTAGATGCTAAACGCACCCCTGCCACCCTTAATCATTACAACAAATAATGTCTCCAGACATTGCCAAAGAATTTACCCCATATTGAGGGAGAGAATGTATATTAAGAAACAGGAATATCTATATATGATTTTTCTCTTTGATGAAGTCAGCCTTCTCTATCAATGAGCTGAGGGGAGGGAAGGAGTAAAATCAAAAGCAATTATTTCATCCAGTTTGCCCCAAGTTTCTGAGGACTCTAGAGGTCTGTAATTGCAAAGGTCAGAGGTGAGAGGATGTTTCATAGTTCTATTCCTCCCACTAATTTTCTTACTGACTGATGGGGGCCTTGTGAGTCCTCCTCTTTTGGTCCCAGAGAACTTTCCCTGTTAGGGGAAGGCCTGTGGAATAAGACTGGTGCCTTTTGTTTCAACTAGCAAAGTGAATTGCTAGTGAAATGGTTACCCTCATTCTTAAGTTCCTTTGGAAGCAAGCAAGGAAATCAGAGGCATATTTTAAAATTTCAGCCTGATGTTATTTGGATTTGTTTACTCTTTTTAATGCTGCTATGGTTCAGGTATTAATTTATACCCTGATGGGCTATGCTGGTTACTCTAATTTAAACAAAGATAGAAATATTTAATGACAGAAAATGGAGTAAAATGGCTTTATTTATATATCCAACAAATATTTTTCGAGAGTTTACCATTTATTGAGAGTGTGAGACTGTTCAGGAGGTTTGGGTTGTATTAGGGAACAAAACAGCCAAAACTGTCCTTCCTCTCACAAATGAGCTAATCAATTTTAAGGCAGTAACAGCTTGATGAGCAAGGAGGCTAAAACAGGCTAGAACACCTCAACCCAATTGATTCCCTTTTCCTCTTTCATATCTGTTCTACTTTCAATTTTCTTTCTTCCCCAGACTTCCTGCCCTTAATTTGCCACACGATGGAATGGAGATGCAATAGGTGAGTTGAATATGGCTTTTTGTATGTAATTCTCAATCTTCTTTTGTCAGTTGTAGGCTTTCAAGATGAAAAAGGGTCATCCTATCTGAATTGAAAGAGATGTTTGCTCTTGGGTTAAGAGCCTGGTCATTATGCTATAGGGTCCTGGGTACTTGGATTTCTGTGCCACTCACAGTCTCAGTTTTTAAGACTACAAATACTGATGAACCCTCCCTGCTTCCCACCTGCATGGGTGACCCAGCCCTTGGGTTGTTTCCCAAACTCCCTTTGCTCTCTCTACTCTATGGCCATACAAAAAGTGTTAGAGTAAAACAACCCTAGTTAGTAGGCCAAACCCTGGGGCTAGGATTTCAGACATCTTGGCACATTGGTCTCCAAGGACTAGCATATATTCTTGTGCAAAGTGGTTCCTTATTTTTTATCAAAAGTTTGTTCACTTGTTTACAGGCTAGGTATTAATTGTGAGAACTGGATTAAAAGAGAAAAAGATAATTATGAAATAGGCCTCAGGGTGTCATCACTAGATTGCCTGTGTGTGAGAACAATTCCTGGGGATTCATCGTTAATGTGTTAAGCAATTATGGGTTGTGTTTCAAAAGAAACAAAAGGGAGAAGTATTTGGACCCCAGGTTTAAGAGAGACTAAATAGGTGTTTGATATTAGGTTGATTCTAAGTTTTTGGGCTTTTACTTTGGCATCTATTTTTATGACAATATTTACCTACCACAGTTTGTAATGTACTATGGGTTGAACTTGTCCTTTTTAAAACTCACATTGAGCACTGAATTAAAATATGACTAATGCTTCACATTGTCCCTAACATACTAAACACAGTTCTTCATTGAAAGGACTGTTAACTGACTTGGGAAGAGTTGTAAATAATAACTGAGTACATAGATTTTGTCAGAATCATGTCCTCTGGGACATCATCTTTTTCATAATTCTTCCTTAAGTTGGTCTAAAAATATTATTCGATCTTATAGTCTTAACATCTACCATGTTTCCCCAAAAATAAGACATCCTCTGAAAATTAGACCTAGCGCATGGAAAGATAAGACATCCCCTGAAAATAAGACCTAGCGCAACTTTGGGAGAAAAAATTTATAGACACTGTCTTATTTTCGGGGAAACAGGATAGTAACTAACCACAGGTGACATTCAAACAGCCATTGAACTTGGCCTATGAATGTGCAGTACTTGGGATTATTTCCTTCACATTAAGAGAAAACAAGTTTAGACTTTCTGTAAAGGAGTGAAATGTGTATTTTTTAAAGCTTTTTCTTTCTTTCTGTGATTTATCTCCTCTTTCTTCTCCTAAATCCTTTAAGAAATCAGGCTTCACTTAGCTCTCTATAGTAAAGCACAGTGGGTCCGGGCAGCACTAACCTAAGATGATGGGCCATTGTGAGTACAGAGTTATAAAAGGTTGTTCCCCCTGTAGGAAAGGGGTCAAGTCAGATTTTTCAAGCTAAACAAAATTTGATGTAATAATATGCTTTATCATTAATGACAAGCAATTTCCATAGAAACTGGTTGCTACCTGTCTCTCACATACCAGCTCTGTATGATATGAAACAAAATAAGAGCACACTACAAAGTCAGTTGTGGGGCCACAAGTCTAAAGTAGAAATGAAAGTTCATGTTAATACTGAGAATTTAGCTAGTTACATGTATGGTTCACTATGTTCCCAAAACATCTATATAATAAAGACTGCTGGTGCCCGGATCGACCACTGACTGCCTAGGGGGCTGCAGATCAGGCCCAGAAAGAGACCTGCAGAGAGAGAGGCAGGGTCTGATCCATAGCCTCTGTGGCAGTTGTTGATCCGAACTTGCCTCTCTCTTTTTTATCTCCCGGCCTGGCCAACACCGCACCCCCATTTCTCTCTAGGCATCCACGGGGGCTTGCTGATCAGCCCCGCCTTTCTGATCAGGCCCAAAGATGCTGACTGGCATAGAAATTGACCAATCAGAACCAAATCTGGGTCAACTGTGAGGAGCCAATGGTTGCCTAGGAGGAAGAGCTTTTGACACTGACTGGCATAGAAACTGACCAATCAGAACCAAATTAGCCGGCAGAGGAGGACAGTTGGGGGCAATATCAAGACAGCAGTGGAGGGCAGTTAGGAGTGATCAGGCTGGCAGGGGAGGGGAGTTGGGGGTGAGATCAGGCAGGCAGAGGAAGACAGTAAGGGGCAATCAGGCAGGCAGGTAGAGAGGTTAGGGGCAATCAGGCAGGCAGGCAGGTGAGTGGTTAGGAGTCAGCAGTACCAGACTGTGAGAGGAGTGTCCGACCACTGGTTTAGGCCTGATCCCACAGGCCTAAACCAGCAGTTGAAAATTCCTTGAGGGGTGCAGGCTGGGCTGAGGGAACCCCCCCTCTATGCACAAATTTCATGCACTGGGCCTCTAGTTAAGTAATAAAATAAAACTTAAAAGAATTTGATTTTTTAAAAAAGACCAAAGTGGTTGATCCACTTTTTAAAAAATGGATTGATTTTAGAGAGAGAGGAAAGGGGGGGATGAGAAAGAGAGAGAGAGAGAGAGAAAGTGAGAGAGAGAGAGAAAGTGAGAGAGAGAGAGAAAGTGAGAGAGAGAGAGAGAGAGAGAGAGAGAGAGAGAGAGAGCGAGCGTGTGTCCTGGCCAGAGTGAGAATTTGATTTTTAAAAAAATGAATAAACAGTGCTGATCTCACATATCATATTGGCTAAAGGCACAAGTCTGGGCACAGCTCTGGAGTTGGAGGAGACTGGGGTCTGAATCTGAGCTTCTCCACTTGGGTGAATGACCCTGGGCAAATGGCTTAACCTCCCTAAAGCACCACAGGGTGAAACTCTTAGGTTGTTAAAAGGATTAAACTGGATAATGTTTGTAAAGCACTTAGCTGAGGTGAGCGCTCCCTTACTGATAGCTGATAATGTCTGCTGGCTGGCAGCAGGTGAATTGAGCACATAGCAAGGGCACAACACATGGTTCTTGTTGATTTATTGAGTTAGATCACTAGTGGACCACTCCTCAGGGAACCCAGGTCTCCAAGTCACATACTCAACAAGCTCTCTCGCCAATTTACTGCATATGTATGTAAGCATATACAGAGAGGCACACAGTGTTTTTCTTAAAAGTTCTTAGTTTATTAATCCTCTCATGAAAAATCTGCACAATCACCACAGATAGTCACCGAAGAATCTTTGCTCCTTTCTGCCAGCACCAACATTGGCCTTTGCAGTCCCCCTGACTTTCTTCATTCTGTTCTTATGTTCCTTTCTCTGTTTTCTTGAGGTCTTCTTCTCATATAGGCCATGTCTTTCAAGTCTATGCTTGGGTTCATTTTTCTTTGTGTAATCCAAGGAATCACAAGTCATGCTAAAGCCAGTTGTCTTGCCACCACCAGAGTGGATTCTGAATCCAAACGCAAAGATGACATCTGGTGTGGTCTTATATATTTTGGCTAGTTTTTCCCAAATTTCTGTCTTGGGCTGCCTTCCCAGAGTGAAGACATCAGTTACCATTTGCTTCCAATGAAGTAGTCTGTTGGTCATGAACTTCATGGTCTGGATAGTTACTGTGTCATTCATGATGAAAGTTGATCTTTAAATGGCCAGGGAGGAAAAGAGCAGGCACAGTCTTTGAATGATACAATTTTGATCTCTACATTTTAGAAATATCTTCTCAATACCAAAAAATTTAGGAGGTCTTTTACGCTTTCTAATGACACCCTATATCGACAAATCTCTGAGACAGCTGAATTTAGTTTTCTTCTAACTCTCCTTGATTATGTCTCTAACCTTTTTCGTATTCCTCTTACCCCCTGAGTCTTGGTGCTGTGCTGAGGATTATTATTTCCAAACTATAAGAGAAAGTTTATTTAGAAAATTACAGAGGTAGAAAAGTGAGCTGTAGAAATAATGGGCTCAGCAAACAAGTTACAGAGTCAAAAGAAGAGGCCCTTGGAGCTTAGGAGAGAGAAAATAAAATAAAAGTAATACAGTTGGGGGGGGGGGCAAGAACAGAGGTGAGAAGGGGAGGACTGGGAAGACCCAGGAGTGCTTCCGATAGAAAGAGCTTACTGCTAGAGATGTTAACCACTCTGAAGCACTTAAATCACTGGGATGGTGAACACATGCCATATTTTCTTTTTCATTGCCCTATATGCCAAAGAAAACCTATTTAATGACCAGAACCAATCTTATAAGGGGACATATCTCTTTCCCTGCTATGTATCATAAAATGATAAGACAATTGGGATTTGTCCAATCCTAAAGTAAGTTGCAGTGCACAAGCTAAAAATCACAAACATTTTCTCATAACTAATAATTACCTGAATGCTTTGTTAACAATAGGTCACCTCATAGCTAACTTAAGGTCATTCTTGGCACTGACAATTCCATCCCCTAGCATATTTAAATTTGGGGGTTTGCCCCTTTAAACAGCCTTCAGGTGTCTGTTTTCTGTCTAGACTCACTGCTTTTTCTTAGTTCAACCCTCCTGTCTCCCGCCTGCATTTCTGTGACAGTCTATTGGCTGGTCTCGTCCTTTCCTATTCATTTTCTACACTTTAGTCAGCATGATTTTATAAAATGCTAATGTAATCATGTTACTGTCCTTGAAAAAGACCTTTCAATGGGTTTCCATAACCTCCATAATAAATGTCCTTAGCCATCTAGCCTCTCTAGTAACATCTTCTATTATTATGAGTTTTCTCAGGGATACCAGCCTACACTAAGCCTTCCCATGCTTCTTGCCTTTGCCCAGGCTTTCTTCCACATGAACCATCTTCCATTTTTGTCCCTCTTCAGAGTCCTGCACAGCTGTCATCTCTTTTTTGAGAATTTTTCCATTTTCTTTTCTCATAAAGATCATAACTCCTCCTTTGTTGTCATTTTATATGTTGATTGTAATACTATTACTTAAAAAATGCTTTATACTTTCTTATTAGACCACTTGTGCCTCACAGGTAAGGCCTGGATCTCATTTATTTTGATATACTTAGGGTCTGGGAATATACAATAATAAGTACTTAATAAAATTGTGTTGATTAAAACACATTTAACATTTCTATGAATAGCGTGGTCTTTTAAAAAATCTGTGCTAATAAAATAACTTTATTGGAACCATGTTTCTCTATTATTCTTTTTTAATGGAATTCATTGGTTATTAAAATTATGTAGGTTTCAGAGTCTATATCATCCTTGGGTCTCCATGTACAACTCACAAAATTATAGTATCCTATTCTGAAAATAAGTAGTATTATAATTCTCTGCTTCTCATAATTAAATTTATTTTTATACCTGTTAACATGCAAAAATGCTCACAGGATTAAAAAATTAGGATATAAAATTGCATATTCAGAATATCCAAATTTATTAAAAAAACAATATCAACTAAAATATATAAGTCTGGATGAAAAGCCATACACTGTCAACCGTGTTTGTTGGTGGGTTGAAGGATTATGGATAATTTTTTTTGTTTTTTTGTATGTTTCTATTCCAAATTCTTTACCAAAATCATGTACTTTATAACCAAAAAAATATTTTTAATAGTGATTGACATGGATGCCAAGCTATTTTTTTTTCAGAAGGATTATCTAAACTCACTCTTATTACTTTAGAGATAGAAAGTAGGGAAATGTCTTTGATTGTTTATCTATGTTCTTAGTCCTAATTCCCTTTTGATATAGGATTTGAACTTAACTCAGTGCTTTAAACAGAATATCACTATTTCCACTAGATGTCACCAAACTACTGGCAAATGTAGCTCAAATGCTCTGCACATATTCAAACAGCTTTAAAAATATTTTCTAAACCCCATTATTCAGTATTCCTTGGTATCACACAAAGCATTCAGATTTTAAAAAATTAGTAAGAAAAATGACTATTACATAAGGTTCTGGTCTCTTACATAACAAGTGAGGGCTTATATGGATCCTTCAGCTTTCTTTAATCTATATTTTATTAGCTTCTTAATATAAATGTGAGGAGAACATTGATGCCAGGGGCCCTGTTTAACTTAAAGAAAATTATTTCCAGGTGATTTCAAGCTCTCTTTTTTTATATAAAGCACAGAGCAAAAGAAGGCCCGAATCCTGAAGCTCCTTTCTGAACAATGCTTTTTAACTACCACAGATCGCTTCCATTACAGAAGGACTAGCCCCTTGGTTGATGAATAAAAATATCTCTCACTATTGGGATGATTTCAGGACACTTTAATTTATTGTAAAGCTGTTTATGGCTCATTTTATGTTGCAGAAAGCAAGGCAAATAACTTTTCCTTGGTGGGAATGAAAGAAGGCGTCTCTTCTTGAATCTAACAAAGGGCAGCTAGAGAGCCATGATTTAAAAAAAAAATGTATAAACCTATTTACTCTATAGGTTTATAACTAGTCAGTTTTGTGATTGGCTCAGTTCACAACTGAAGTGGGGGGTTGGCAGAAACCTGTTTCCAGTCATTTTTGTTTGGGATTGAGAGTGGTCGGCCAATCAAAAGACATTTAAATCAGTCAGGGCTCTGGGAAAGACATCCATGTGCCATCTCCAGCATCACTGCTTTCTACTGTGGTGCTTGGTTTCTTAAGATGTGATGCGTTATTTTTCTTGTGCTTCACCATGGGACGGCAAGACATATCCGTTTGTAAACAAAAGTCTGACTAAAATGTTCAGATCCTTTCTTTCTCTAAAATATTCCCCCCCCCCCCAATTGTTTCCCTTTTAAAATAGCACATGCTAATCTCTTTTCCCAGTCTTAAGGGCTTCTGACTACTGTCTATTTAAAATTTCCTCTGTCCCTTTTCCTGGCTATTGTACCATATTCTCAGTATAAATATAAAAAAGTAACAGTGTTTCTGCACGGGTTTATCAGTTATGACCTTAAATTTACAGGCTTTGTGCCCTGCACGCTGTTTCGCTGATTATACCGTAAAGTCCCATCATACAAAGAAGTCAGATCTGTGTTAGATCCTTTTGCAATATGGTAGTATGTAATTGCAATTTATTTCTGCTGCCCTAGGCATCACCTTCAAAGTTTTCTCCTTGAGCCTGGCACATGGAATATCCATGTGAGTTCCTCTGATATGGTGACAAGCCTCAACTGAAGTGGAGAAGCTGTTTTTGGAAGTTTCTCTCCAGATATCTGGATTTGCTTCTCCATAGCACTTTAAAAACAGCTTCCATTAGCTATATACAAGGCCTGATAAGCTCTCCTCCTTGACACTTTTTAAAATATTATTTAGTGCCTTCCTAAAGCTCCTTTCTTTTAACTCTGAAGCATAGTGCATTTCCTCTAATTGTTATTGTTATATTCCCTGCCTCCTCGCTACAATTGATTACTGAGATGTAGATAGAGGATTTTACTGGTGGGATTCTCATCCATGAAATCACTCCAGCTCCTCAGTCTAAGACTGCAACTTCACCTCTGTTGAAGTGAAAGTTCATTTTAGGGTGGGTTAATTTCTTTAAAAATATTTGTGGTAATTTGCTGCGGTTTTGAAACTTCCTGTGTTTTACTAAGTAAAAATGAAAGGTATTGGTACCCACGCACTGCGGTGAAAGAGAAGTATGGCGCTACATTTATACTGTCGATTGCTTTGGGAGTCAGCCATGAAAATTTGCTCAGCTCATCACTGAGGGATATTGAAACACATTTCTTGCCGACATCGTGTCATCTGTGGTGTGGATGGAACCTTCATGCTGACAAATACTGCATAAATGGCTGTTAGAGCCAGTAGGCATTCCTGATGATTAACTATAAAAATGTTTTTGACTCTGGTTGCTGACAAGAATGACAATGCTTTGGCCAGACTGGCCTCCTTCTGGACACCAAAGGATGTTCCAGTCTTGGTTTTACCATCTGGTTTCAAAACAAGCCAGGAACAATGAAGAGAAGGGAGTCTTTTAAAGAGGCAGCAGCAGACTAATTCTTCTGGCTATAAAATCTTTCTTTGATAAATTAAAAAAACAAAAATGCACGGAGGCCTGGAGGAAAAACAACCACAGCCTCTGAAATTCTATTTTCTAGGATAGATAAGGTATCCTGAACATCTTCATAAGGCAAAGGGACCTGACTATATGAGTCACAAATAATCTTTATGCAAAAATAACAGATGAGTCAGTTTGTACCACAGAGCTTAAGTTTTTAGTATGCCCGAAGGAAGACCAAACATATTTCATAAGAATCATTTCCTTCTAAGCAAATTTAAATTTATTATTCAGATGTAGGAATATTTAGTTCTGCAAATGATAATAAAAGTAGCGGCAATAATAGTTTTTCTTTAATGCTTTATAATTTCTAAAGGCATTCAACTAGATCATTTCCTTTGAACCTCACAAAAATCTTATGCTACAGATATTTTTATACCTTTAATCTTCACACAAGGAAACAAACTTAGAAAGTCTTCATTTATCTGAGGTCACTAAGCAAATGGCAGGCATGGGGGCAGAGGAACTCTTAAGTCTGGTGATTGGTTGCCAAGCTAGTAAACTTCCAGCTACCTCACTCTGCACCATTTCCTCCTGGCAACATTCCCATGGTACAAGGAAAGCCAGGTTAATTCCATGAGTATAACTTGAGGAATAAAATGTTGCCTTATTTTTTTTCATGTAACTTGCCATAA